ATGGTACTAAACGACTACATTAATGGCACCTCTGGCTCCACATGATATCAAGAACTTTAATAATTCATCACTTATTATAGCTTACATCCCTGTAAATTGGCATGAGTGGGAGCTGAGTTGACAACATTGAGATAAGGCCTTCTGTGAGACCTTTACTCTCCAAACATCGTATCCATAAATATTCAGATATTAGTGGTGTTTAAAAATAAAGGAAAGATAATTGGCTATTACAAAGCTAGACTCTTTAGGTTATATTTATCAAGCATTAGATTACTTCAGGTTCTTAAGTACATCTTAGGGATATTCAAAGTGAAAATTTTTAAAAGATACTTCTTCATTTCAGGACTACCACTTTAAAAAAAAAAAAAAAGCCTAACACTAGCATTAGCTTATTATCCACACTAAATGGAATTAATGATTGGCCACTGGGAATGATGATGAGAGACTTTAAAAAATCATTCAAATTCTTAATCTAGGAGTTTTATATCTGATAATAGAAGTCTCCCAATTTTAGTCTTCTTCAGCTGTTTTGGAGTACTTTATTATTTTTTTTAATTTTTAAAAAGCATTTATTTTTGAGACAGAGACAGAGCTTGAGTGGGGGAGGGCACAGAAAGAGGGAGACACAGAATCCAAAGCAGGGTCCAGGCTCTGAGCTGTCAGCACAGAGCCCAACCTGGGGCTCGAACCCATGAACCGTGAGATCATGACCTGAGCTGAAGTTGGACACGTAACCAACTGAACCACCCAAGCACCCCTGGAGTACTTTACAAAAAGAAATAGGAAAGGCATGGTTATGGAAAGCATGTGTCTATGCACTCCCATATTCACATGTCATGATTAAATTCCAGAGTGAAATTTAGGTATAAAAGAATTTGCCCATTTCCAGGGAAGAGGGGGAAGGGTTAAGTTGATGTTGAATCTATCTTTAGTTCTCCAGTGACTGCACCTGAGTACTATCAATGTAGCTTTCAAAAAAGACAAAAAGGTTACTAAAGTTGACAGCTTGTAACCCTAGCATTTAGCACAGTGCCTGGCACATGGTACCTGATGAGCAGATCAATCCATATAATTCTAGTCAGACAGCTGGTATTTTGATAACTTAAAGTTATACTGATTCATACTATAGTAGTCCCCCTCCCCCCTTATTCACAGGAGATACATTCCAAGACCCCCAGTGGTTGCCTGAAACCATGGATAGCACTGAACCTTATATATATTACCATGTTTTTTCTGACACATACACACCTATGGTAAAATTTATAAATTAGGCACAGTAAGGCATTAACAGCAATAATAACAAAACAGTTATAACAATATACTATAATAAGAGTCAAATGAATGCAGTCTCTCTCAAAACACTGTGCTGTACTCACCCTTCTTATGATGCTGTGGGATGGTAAAATGCCTGCATGATGAAATGAAGTGAGGTGAACGATGCAGGCATTTGCAGCATAGTGTTAGGATCATCTGCTTCCAGATCCTGGGTGACTGTGAACACCTGAAGTCACAGAAAGCCACACTGTGGATAAGGGGGTTGGGGGAACTACTGTAGTTGTTTTCAATGCTAGCACTATTTTAGGAGTGTATTGTAGTTCACTGTTAGTGTTTTTAAACTTCCACCTAATGTGGATTTGTCACAGAAGGGGTCCACAGAGCCTCATTATGGGGTTCTGACCTCTGAGGCATATATTCTTTTTTTTTATCCATAATCAAAACTTTATTGAAAAACTGACACCAAAATAGGATATCACTAGTGTATATCTCACAGAATTAAAACACTGTTTTGGTAGATTAACTGGAAATACTGAACTGATTAGGCTTTTGGCGATATAACACAAGTTCAGGAGGTTTTGTGGATCATTAGTGTTGCTTTCTTCTAAATGAACACCCTTCTGTGAGTCTGGCCTTTCCTCCTGTTGGCTGGCACAACACAGTTGAACAGCCTACACAAAGAACCACGGTCTGAACATGGCTCAGACATCCATAAAATAGGAGTTTGGGTTTTGAATTAGCTGTTTCTTTCTTTTTTCTTTTCCTCCATTGAGGGCCAGTGTTGTAAATCTCTAGCCAAAGAAAGGCATATTAATCCTTTTGCGGGCCCAGGCAATCTGTTCTGTAAGGCGACACCCCTAGTGAGCGCCATGCCAGTGCACTTGCGGCATCTGAGGTATATATTCTTAAGATAGCATTGTCCTCTAGGGAGGCTCCAGAGTATTTCAGGTATCCTTTGGATTCTATCAAAAAGCCTTTAGAGGTTGGGGCACCTGGGTGGCCCAGTTGGTTGACTGATCGACTTTGGCTCAGGTCATGATCTCACGGTTGGTGGGTTTGAGCCCCGCATCAGGCTCTGTGCTGGCAGCTCGGAGCCTAAAGACTGCTTTCAATTCTGTGTCTCCCTTTCTCTCTGCCCCTCCCCGTCTCGTGCTTGCTCGCTCTCTCTCTCAAAAACAAATAAAACATTAAAAAAATTTTTTTAAAGCCTTTAGAAGTTTTTCAAAGAGATAGAGAAAATTAATCTTTCCCCCATTAGAGACACTGGACAGTTTTCACTGATACTTAATACAAAATAGTTTATGCCATGTGTAAGTTGGGTTAACTCGGTTGCTTTAGATTTTTTAAATTATGGTTTCCTTTAAAAGCGATTATCTGCTTGTCATTGACTTCCATGAGAGAACTGCAGGAGATGAATACAGTCAAGAGTTACATTGCCAGAGAGATTAGGGTTTGGGAAGGCCTTGGAAGCACTGGTATGGTTAAAATGAAAGCTCTTGGGGCACTTGGGTGGCTCAGTCGGTTGAGCATCCGACCTCAGCTCAGGTCGTGATCTCGTGGTCTGTGAGTTCAAGCCTCATGTCAGGCTCTGTGCTGACAGCTTGGAGCCTGGAGCCTGCTTTGGATTCTGTGTCTCCCTCTCTCTCTGCCTCTCCCCTGCTCATTCTCTGCCTCTCTCTGTGTCAAAAATAAAATGAAAGCTCTTAATCTATGAAAGGGAAAAAATTAAATTTCAGCAAGCATGAGATATGGAATTAAATCACACTGTGCTAGCCTGCTACACAGATGGTACTCGCTCTCTACTTGCCAGACCAACCATGTTGAAGCAGAAAGTGGACTATCTAACTTAAATTAGAAGAGCTGAATTTCTTCTTTAGTTGAAATGCCACAGTAAATATCTTTTGTGTAAAATTCAGTGTTTGTTGTTCAGTCGCAAGTGTGAATTGGATGAAAGTATCCAAATACAAGATTTTTATGTGGAGCAAATTCCTATTTTTCTCTCTCACGTTTCCCAGCACACACCTCTAGTCATGAGTGTCCTTGAGCTGATATCTGATGCCAGCCAGATACCTTGGAGTAAAGGTTTTAGAACTGTTGTGGAAAAGTGATGGCTTCATCTAGGCTTAGTTATGTTATGTGTGAATTAAGCTCCTAAGTGGAAGTGGCTGAAATTTTACATATGGACAGACACGGATCTAGCTGTGAACCAATTGTTCTGCTGTGATAGAGACATCATTCAAACCTGCATGCATCTGTCAACTCCCTGTGGTGGCACAGTGAGATAAAGTGATCTGTAATGTTTCTCTAGTGTGTCCCTATTGCTAGCCATATTGTAATGTATAATACATCTCTTGGGCAGACAGCTTGAGTGGGCTGGATTCCACTTCAGCCCTGTAAAGATGCCAGGAAGCATCAAGGTGAATTTTTAAAGCCTATTTAAATATTTAGACTCCTGACTAATTTCAGTGAAATCTCCGCTATATCTAACAAACCACGTGCTAGAAGTGAGATGGAATCTCAAGTTTATGGCTTCCTCACTGATTAGTTGTATGACCTTGGATTGACAAATTATTTATCTGCCTGTTTCTGTCTAGGGCAAGTGAGAATTGTAAAAGGATTTGCCTCATAAGGTTGTTGTGTGGATTTTTAGGCAGTTAACATGTATAAAATACGTAGGAGAGTGCCTACCACTTAATAAATGTTAGCCACTGCCACCACTAACAGTCATCGTCATCAACATAATTTAGAGATGAATTTTTATTCCCTGAAGTTAGATTGCTTTTTTTTTAGGAAGACCGTATCTCTATCAAGGATATGACCAACCTCAATTCTCATATAGAGGCTCACTATCTTGTTTGTAAAGTCAATCTTCTTTTATTTACACCTAAAGTATAATGTAGTATATTATTATGTATTATAATATTTATTATGCAAATTATATATTCATATTATGTTACTTTAAAGAAAGCATATTTTTTCTTTCAAAAATATATAAAGTATAGTCCATTATAAGAAAGTAGAAGATAATCACTAAAAGGGATGAAGGGACTCTATAATACTGCTGTGGAATGATCTATCTACAAGATACATTGTTATGAGAAATAAGTAAGGGCACATTACTGTATAAATTATTCCACCAGTTTTATAAAATTTTGCTAGTACGTGCATAGAATATTTGACAGGCTGCACAAGAAATGGTATATTTTCATTTGTTGCTGTTGGGGAGGAAAATCGTATGGCTGATGACAGGGTGGGAGACTTACTGTATTTCCTTTTATACTTTTTGATTATTGAACCATGTGAATGTATTCCCTAGTTACTTATTAAAAAACTCATAAAAATGACAGTTGGGCATCCAACTTTGGCTCAGGTCATGATCTCACGGTTCATGAGTTCGAGCCCCATGTCAGGCTCTGTGCTGACAACTCAGAGGCTGGAGCCTGCTTCAGATTCTCTGTGTGTGTGTGTGTCTCTCTTTCTGCCCCTCTCCCATTCATGCTCTGTCTCTCTAAATAAACTTTAAAAAATAAAATAAATAAAAAGCTCATAAAAATGAAATGTAAAATAGCTGTTTTGAAATCTAGATATTTATTCATCCCTTAGAAACATTTTTTTTTTTCGTATTAAAATTCACATTTGATAGGGCTTTTAGGTTGTTTTAGTCCCCGCCCCTTGAAGTCTGTTTTCCAACACTAAACTAAGAATGATCTTTTGTCCTCCATTAGGGATTTGAGTCATAATCGGTTGTCTAACTGGAACATCAGCTTGGAGTCTCAAACATTACAAGAAGTGTAAGTTATTTTTATTTGTTTAAATATTTATTAAACTCTTAGATTTGATGGTAAATTATGCATTTGAGGATGTTCAATCCAGAAATGCTATCAAAAAATTGAGGGAAAAAATTTAAAAGACATTGTTTAAAAACCTAAACTGTTGTCTTTGGCTTTGCTACTATTTCTGACTCTGGACATCGTGCCAGAGGTTGGTGATTAGTTGCAAACTGTGTAGAAATATTATTCTATCTACTTTCTTGGGACCAAAAATAAGATTTTTTTTCCCTCTTCGGAGTAAATATGTTTTGCTTGTTTTTTTGCCAATTTGAGCCAGTGAAACGCTCTATTGTGTAAACTTTTTTATGTCTTGACTTGTCCAAGATGGAGGCATCATGTCTAAAGTAGATTTACGTGAAATACAGTATTTTTTTTTGTTGTCTGTAATGTGGTGGTTAATATAGTTTCATTTTCTTTTTTTAAAATATGATTTATTGACAGATTGGTTTCCATACAATATCCATTGCTTATGCCAACAGGTGCCCTCCTCAATGCCCATCACCCACTTTCCCCTCTCTCCCACCCACATCTACCCTCAGTTTGTTCCTCAGTATCCAAGAGTCTCTTAATGATAGTTTCATTTTCTACTTCACTGAAGTTTTTCCTTTAATATTGAAATGTATTATTATGTACTTTTTGGAGGGAATTTTCTAAAATGATATTAATTATCAGTTTAATTTGTTTCTGACTGGGATAACTTGTTCATGCTGTCATTGTCCTTGCATTCTCTGCTTCCCCGCCCCAGTTGACTGGTTCTGATCTGCTGTGCACTGAATAAACAGTTGACAAGCTTATGAGCTGAAAGAATAGACCCTGAAGAAAGTCCTGAAAACGCGTCAATGGGAAATGCATGAGCTTTATTACATGGACTTTGTAACTTCACCTTGTTTCTTGGAGGCCTTTTACTTCTGGTTTCTTTGTATTCTAGATTATTGAGGTTGTTCAGTGACTGAAAACCAGATTAATGTAATGTGATTATATCAGATATGTACTAAAACATGCGAGACCATATGTTTAAAGAGCTGCTAGGACCAGATCGTGACATGTCACGTCATCTGTAAAATTAATGAATGATAGGGTCCATATCTCAGTGGGCAGATTCATCCATGGTCCCAAGCAACCCTCTCTAACTGTGAGTAATATCAAAAAACGTGTGTGTGTATTTAAGAAATTTACTTAATTAAAACTTTTATCTTATAAATAGATGTATAAAAAGATATAGATGGTTTAGTTATTTCTTCTTTAAGGAAGACTGAAATTAGCTGTCAGAAATGTAATTCAAGGACGTTGCTGGGATTAAAAATACTTCATGTGCAAAATATTGGTATCAATCATAGAGCTACACCATGAAAAAACATTTCTTATTAAAATCTTTAGTTTCTCAGCATAATGCATTTAGTCTATCTCATTCTGAGTCATAGGCCTTTTTAAATTTGGCACCTATCCTAAAGAATAATTATTAGGCAGAAACCAGAACTCAACAGGCAACATTTCCCTCTCTAAACTTTTAAATCTGTTTTTCCCCCTTGCCTAGGAAAATGAATTATAATGAGCTAACAGAAATCCCATATTTTGGAGAACCAACCTCTAATATTACTCAACTCTCATTGTAAGTAAGATTTCAGATCTTTTAAATTATGAATAGTACAGTTTTAGAATGTTTGTTTTAGGTAGGCTTTTTGTCGTTATTTTTTGTTTTGTCATTATTTAACATCCTTGTGGTCTGGGGTAGGTCTCTGTCAGTCGCTTCATTACAGTCTTTTTTTTTTTTTTTTTAATAGAATCCATAATTTAATCCCAGAAATAAATGCAGAGGCGTTTCAGTTTTACCCTGCTCTCGAGAATTTAGATCTCAGTTCAAATATAATATCAGAAATCAAGACATCTTCATTTCCTCGAATGCAGCTTAAATACCTGTAAGTAGATTTATTTTAAAGTGCATGTTTATGTATTGATAGTTATCTTCCCAGAGATGTCTGTTATTTATTGTGATTTTGATATGCTTATGTGAAACAAACCTAGGGGCAGTTTTTTGAGGTTGTTGTTATTTCTCTTATCAGGAAATATTAAGTATGCAGGTTAATTTTTGAGATTTAATTCTGGATTGTGTTTTACTAAACAGTTTTACAAAAGGTAAATAGTGGTTTGTTAAATAGTGGTTTATCCTATACAATGATAATTAACGTGTGCGATAGTGTTTTACACTTTACAAAGCGTATTCATACATACCATTTGAACCTAAATGAAGTTGGTATTCTTATTTTGCACTTGCATAAACAAAGCAGTTAAATGATTTGTAAAGTTGTGTATAGTTGCTAAGTGGTAGAGCTGGTTGTCAGTCATAGACTTCAGGTAGCTGTCAGGTGGTAGAATGTTCCATTGCACTAAATTTTTTTGTTCTCTTGTTTATTTTAGGAATTTGAGTAATAATAGGATAACCATCTTGGAGGCTGGTTGCTTTGATAATTTATCTAGCTCCTTACTAGTGGTAAAGTTAAACAGGAACAGAATCAGCATGATTCCACCCAAGATCTTCAAGCTACCTCACCTCCAGTTCTTGTGAGTAACTAAATAGATGGGTTTTAAGAAGGTTGTCTTTTCTTTTAAATTATTTTAATTATTATTAGAGCAAATCAGCAAACCAAAGGTCTGACTTTTACACACTTTTTATTAAAGGGAACTTAAAAGAAACAAGATTAAGGTGATAGAAGGTCTGACATTCCAAGGGCTTGACTCCTTAAGGTCTTTGAAGATGCAGCGGAATGGTATTAGCAAACTTAAGGATGGAGCTTTTTTTGGCTTGGATAACATGGAAGAATTGTAAGTACTGTGAACTGGAATAGAATCTTGTTAGGAAAGGAGTCTGACTGAGACTTGTCAGTGCCCAATGGCTAAGATCGTTGCTTTAATTACACCCAGGTACATTAGTTCTTTCTCGCTTCTCTGATGTGAAGTAAGTATACACAGAGCTCTTTAAGCTTCGTTGTTGTTGTTTTTAGTATTTATTTATTTTTGGGAGACAGAGAGAGTCCAAGCAGGGGAGGGACAGAGAGAGACGGAGACACAGAATCTGAAGCAGGCTCCAGGCTCCGAGCTGTCAGCACAGAGCCCGGCGCAGGGCTCGAACCCACGAAGGGTGGGTAGAATTGGTTGACTTACTTGGGTTTAGCAAAGGTAGAGGCCTCACGGAGCAGGACCTCTTGAAGAGTTTTGGAATCTTCTCATTGCAGTGTCTTGTTCTGAACCATATTTTCTCCTTTCTTTCTCTAATTCTGCAGAGAACTAGAGCATAATAACCTTACAGAAGTGAACAAGGGGTGGTTGTATGGCTTGCGAATGTTACAACAGCTCTATGTGAGCCAGAATGCTGTTGAAAGAATCAGCCCTGACGCATGGGAGTTCTGCCAAAGACTGTCTGAACTGTGAGTGCTGGATGGCATTTGGCTGGAGGCTGTGAGACTAGAGTAGGTTGGGATAAGTCACTCCCATGGCCAATAATGAGATGGAACATCCTGCTTTATTAGAAGTTTGTTGAAAGCTCTAAATTTATCATGTAAATAGAATGAGAATAGGAAAATTGAATTAAAATACAATGAATTCCTTACCTTCCATGTTTCCGGTTTTTAGTGATTTGTCCTATAACCAGTTGACCCGCCTGGATGAATCTGCCTTTGTGGGTCTGAGCTTACTGGAGAAACTGAATTTAGGGGACAACAGAGTCACTCACATTGCTGATGGTGTATTTAGGTTTCTTTCCAATCTTCAGACACTGTAAGTACATCTGTCTTTTCTTTTTTGCTAATTTTTATAAAACAGTAAAGCAAATTAAAATAACTAATCATAAGCTGCACATTTATGTTTATGTTAACATTTTGCAGTTCTTCTATCTTAGACTTAGGGGCAAGACAGTCTTATTTGTCTCTGTCCTCACACATAAATCTTACTTGTCTCTAGCCAGTTCAGTTTGTACTTTAATTTCGAATTTAATCAACTGAACAACGGAGCATCTCTTGTTTCAGTTACCATGGAATAAAACACGGTTGCTAGTCAAGAATGCACATTTTCTTGTTCCTCCGACCTTGAACTACTTTCAAAACTGCTACTCGTTCAGAAGGATACAGGCTGTGTAGTGGGAACAGCTATGGCAGGAGCCCTGTTCAGTGCTGCTAATTTCCTGCATGACTTTGGACAAAAAACCTTAAATTTATCAATGAGCTCATGTGTGCTAGGTGCTTTCAGAATAACAGGATATTATTGCTCTTTTCCATATTAGGAGGCTGAGGTTCAGAGAGGTTAAAATGATTTGCTTAAAGTTATACAACTTGTATTCCCAAGTGGTCTTTCATCCAAGTACTAAGCAGGCCTGACCCTGCTTAGTTTCAGAGACCAGACAGAATCAGGTGCGTTCAGGGGAAAGTCACACAGCTTGTCAATGAGCCAGGTCTGTTTGACACTGGCTTTTTACCATACTGCCTGAAAAACAAAATCACTTAACCTTCTGTGTCATTTTCTTTTTGTCTTCCTCCAGTGGAGGAGGGGCATAGGAGTAAATGGTTGCTATAGGCAATTTCCACTCTAAAATTCTGGGTTTCTGTAAGTTGGATGTTTTACTCTGTCATGAAATGTAATTGAAAGAAGAGGTATTTTAACGAAATACAGTGATTTCAAACAGAGCAGAATAAGAGAAAAAGGCTAATTAGTAGAATTTGTAGATTGTAAAGTTCCTGAATAGGGGACTTTTTGGTCATCATATTCAGGGTTGATAAATGATCTCAGAAAAGAGGCAGGCTCCCAAATTGGAGACCTAGCCATCAGCGAGAAAGTTAGCGTGATAGTTTTGTGAAGGTGTGTATATACCTGCACAAGTTTATTGGAATTTTTTTTTTTTTTTTTAGCTTAATGAGGTATTTTTTCCTTCAGATTTGGCCCTGGAAAGTTAAAAGTGATTTTTTTGTTGTTGTTCTTTTTTCTACATTATTAGAGGTGAACCTAGACCAGCTTAAACCCAGGAACTTAGATGCAGCTGCAGCCTTTTGGCATTTCAAAGACTGGCAGTCAGGTTCTTTCAGTACCACAGATTATTACTTTTAATATTAAAGTTGAGGAAAATAATCGCAGAAGTAAATGATTGTCTAATGCCACAGAGACGGTTAAGGCAGAATTAGAATAAGATCTGAGAAATTTTGGCTTTAGATCAATACTCCTGCCGGAGTACTTACTCATTTTGTCCAGTGAGTTGTATTTATGCTGTGCTATGGAGGAAAGTCTTGAAGAGTTGAGTCATCAGTTGTTTCAGTGTTTATCGCTTAGTAAAATAAAATGAACCCGTTGGCTTTCACTTCAAGTAAAGATATAGCTTAATAGGAAGCGTGATCTCCTATCTCCTGTTACTGACACAACTTTAAATGTCTCATTAAGAAAAGAGCTTTGTGTTTATTATGAGATGACTTAAGGAAGCAAAAGCGATTATCTATAACTGGTACTTCTTCCAGCGGGGCATTGTGTAGTACAATTGCATTTCCTCTGAGGACGCAACAGTGGATTTTAAAAGATCCATACTTTTCCTTTTAAAAATAACAGTGATCACTCTAGCGCATGGGTGTATCAGTGTCACTTCCCAGGGGGCATGTTTAATTGCTGTCAAGCTATGAAGCTCTCTACTGACATAATTCTTTGTCAGCCATTTTAGGTTTAAGGGCCTGCGGGAAGGATTGGGTCACCCAGAAATCCCATTAGTCTAAAATCACATTTGTAAGGCATATCCCCTGCATCTTGAAATCCTCCTGCTTTTTGCAGGACCCTGACTATAATTTTAAATATGCTAACACAATCAGGGGCTGTTAGCTGGGAAGATTAATACTCTTACCACGTTGCTTAATTTATTTATCAAGGCCAGCTTAATTCTTTGCTTATGAGAATCAGTTCTTGCTTGCTTATTGCAGACATTCTTTAAAAACCGTAGTCAAGTCTTTGTCATAAATAACTGTTAAAATAAGGATGAAAATTAGCATCGCCATGCCAGGATGATGCCCAGTGCTATAATGGTCATGTTAACTAACCTAATCTGTCTTTCCCTAACATTTTTGTAGAAACTTAAGAAACAATGAAATTTCATGGGCCATAGAAGATGCTAGTGAAGCGTTTGCAGGACTCACAAGTCTCACTAAATTGTATGTATTTATACTATTTATGTATGTTTACAAAGGTGTGTTTTTAAGAAGCAGTTGTATATGTGATTGGATTGTCTTTTTGCTGTGTCTGGAAAGTCAGCCTCTTGACTCATCCACTAAAGGAAGAAACTGTTGTTTATCAAGTTTTTTGTTTATCAGTGGTTTTAAATTTTATTTATTTATTTAGTGGCAAGACACTTTTTTTTTTAAGTTTATTTATTTTAGCGAGAGCATGCATGTGCATGCATGAGCTGGAGGAGGGGGCAGAGAGAGAGAGGGAGAGAGGATCCCAGGCAGGCTCCCACACTGCCAGCACAGAGCCCAGTGCAGGGCTCAAACCCATGAACTGTGAGATCTTGACCTGGGCCAAAATCAAGAGTCAGACACTCAACCGATTGAGCCACCCAGGTGCTCCTTGGTGGGACACTTTCTACTGAAAGAGCTTTCTTATGGGCACTCAAAGAGAAGTTATTCATGGAACTAGAATTGCTCTTCCAGAGTTGAACCAGTATTATTCTTCTTCCTCTTTTATTTTTTTTTAATATTTATTTTTGAGAGAGGGAGAGAGAGAGAGGAGGAAAAGGCAGAGAGGGGGGAGACAGAGGATCTGAAGTAGGCTCTGCACTGACAGCCGTGAGCTTGATGTGGGGCTTGAACTCCTGAACCGTAAGATCATGACCTGAGCACAAGTCGGATGCTTAACCAACTGAGCCACCCAGGCACCCCTATATTCTTAATCGTAAGAGATTTATGGGTAATTTATCTAGCGAGAGAGGAATTCTCTCAAGTAAGATTTTAGGTCTTCTCTCCTGAGAATTTCTCCAAGGCTTTACACTTGTCTGAATTTCTTTGACCTGATCTTTTGCTAAGAAGGGAGAAACTGGGACTATAATCCAGTTTATTATATGAAAACTAGCAGCCCATCAGTGGTCCAGATGGCTGTTCACAGGCACCTCGTTGAGCTTCAACCTGTTAATAGAAGCCTTCATTCTGTGTTTTGCATTGGTTGGTAATAAAGGTTCACAACTTTCTTAAAAATGTATGTTAAACTTATTTTCACTTTTTATAGGTAAATGTTTGCTTTAATGAATTAAATTTTGCTTAGTGGAGGCTTTATTAGAAAGGTCTGTTTGTATTTTAGGATCTTACAAGGAAATCAAATTAAGTCAATTACAAAGAAAGCATTCATTGGTCTTGAATCCCTTGAGCATCTGTAAGTATTTTGCATCTATTTTGCTCCGTATATAAATAATCTTTGCTATTAGCAGAGGTTCTCATGACCATTTAAAGTGTTTATATAACTTAATTGTAGAAATGTGACCGGTAATGTTTCATTTCTCTTCATTTCAGAGATTTGAACAACAATGCTATAATGTCTATCCAAGAAAATGCTTTCTCTCAGACTCGCTTGAAAGAACTGTACGTAACTTCAGTCTTTTTGTCACCAATCATTAGATCATTATCCATGCTTGTTTCTAAACATGATGAATGTGACCTATATGTTTCCAAAAGCACACGATTCAGGCAGGAAAAAAAAAAAAAAGAAAGTGTTAATATTCAGTTACTGTAGTGGCTGGATATAATTTTTAAATAACCCAAGATTGAAAAGCCCAGAGTTTGTGCCACCAAGACCTTCTGTTTTGCCTGTGCTGCTAATGCTTATAGTTGAAGAGACCTTAGCACTGCTCCTTGTGCTTGTTGTATATCTTCCTGTTCCTTATTCCCCCTGACCTCCCATTTATTTTTGGATTATTGGAAAAATGTGTTCCCAGTCCCCTTAGGGTGGATCACAGTTCAGGTATTAGGTAATTTGTTGCATATAATCTAGCACTTTCAGTATAATGATCAGAGGGGATGTTTCTGATATGGGTGTTCAAGCTACTAAAATGGTCAAACACTGTTAAATAGTTGTAGTGGAAAAACACACTTTATACCCTTTTTCATTCATGGTTTTTAAAAAAATTATGTTTAGGGTTTTCCCAGGGGGAGGGGTGGTTAGTTGGGCATTGGTATTCATTTTAACCTTTGGTGATTTGAATATTCAGCCAGTGTTAAGAATCAGTAGACTAAAGCAATTTATCTTGCCTTGCCTGAAAGCTACTCAGAGGAAGGACTGTGGTCCCAAACTGGTGCATCATGAGATAAGGCTAGAAGTTCATAGGAAGCATTCAGAAGCTTTTAGAGCAGTTTGACATTACTGTGATACTTTTGTTGAATTTTATGGAAGTATTAATCTACAACAGATTGGAAATTTTAAAAAGTGGTTCTTCATCACAGGTAGTTTGAGATGCACTGGAAGTGTGTGAGTTCAAACTGCCTAGATTTCAAATTCTGCCCCATTCTTTACAGCTATGGGACATTGGGAACATTTAGCCTAAAACTCAATTTCCCTTTTGAGAATGGGCATTGTACCTCTCTTAGAGTTATGTGAGGATAAAATGAGGTAATTTGTTCATTCAAGAAATATGTATTGTCATCTGCTATGTAAGGTACTGTTTTAGGTGGTAAAAACACAGTGGTGAACAAGACAAAGTCTCTGTTCTCATAGCATAGTACAATAAATTCTGGTAAGGAAGTCAAAGAATAAATCAGTAGATACATAATATCTCTCATCAAGTAATAAGAGTTCTGAAGGAAAATAAAGGCGGGTCAGAGGTATGGAGAGTCATGGGGATTGCTATTTTAGTTTTTATTTTTTTTAAATGTTTGTTTATTTTTGAGAGAGAGTACAAGCGGGGGATGGGCAGAGAGAGCCGGAGACAGAATCCAAAATGGTCTCTGTGCTGACAGCAGCAAGCCCAATGTGGGGCTCAGATTTATGAACCACAAGATTATGACCTGAGCCGAGGTCAGATGCTCAACCAACTGAGCCACCCAGGTGCCCCTGGGATTGTTATTTAGATAAAGCAGTGATGAAAGGCCTTTTTGAAGATAACAGAATTTGAGTTAGTGAGTGGCAAAGCATTGAATACTAGTTGAAGAGCATTCTGCACAGAGAACAGCAAGTGCAAAGGCCCTGAGGTAGAATCTTGTTTCTTGTGCTTGAAGAACAGCAGAGACACTAGTGTGGTTGGAAGAGAGCGAGAGGAAGAGTGCTTAGGAGATGAGGTCAGAGATTTAAGCAGGAACCAGACCAAGTAGGGCTCAATGAGTTATGAGAAGTTTGGATTTTTTTTCCTCTAAATGTCTCAGGAAACTTTGGAGGGTTTTGAGAAGATGCTCAGTACAGAGCCTGGCATGGCACACAGTAAAAGTTGAATAATATTAATAATAAAAATAAAAATGTTATGGAAATAACCATTAGTTATTTTCTGCCAGACTTTCAGGTAGCTCTTTTTTTTGAGGGGTGGAGTCTGTTGAGATATTTGAGATATTTCTCCTAGGCTTAATTTTTAAGGGTACAACCTAGTGCATATATTAGTATTACCTTTTTTTTTGCCCTTGAGAATCTGAGGGCCACCAATGAAGTTTTAACTCTTGTCATGAGAACTCAGTATAAAATGTAATTTAGACAGTAGGCGAGAGCAAATAGTGTAGTTTCATTCTTTAGTCATTTGGTAGTTTGAGAATTGGTTTGAACAAAATGCTAGTGGAGGAGACTCTAATGTACCTTTTTTACTGAGACATTTTGGTTGCTTTTGGTTGATTTAAATCTAAGTCATATTTACAATACTGTTACATCAACATTTATTAAAATATATCTGTATGCTTCTTGGTATCCTTCAGTGCTTTGCATAAATATTAGGTGGAGATGGGAGAGTTGTATGTAAATTAAAAATATTTTGCATTAAACTTCTGTAGTCATGGTAGAAACATTAGAAAGTACAGTTAAACCAAGGAGAGCCAAGTCCCCAGATGCCCACTACTTAAAGACAACCACTATTAATATTTTGGTGTGTATCTTTTTGAGAGGTTTTAACAGGGTACTCTGTTAGGTACTTGGGGGCAGGTTGGTTAGTGTGTGAGGGGGGAAAGATGCAAAAGAAACAGAAGTAAAGGGAAGTAATGTGAATTCAGTGGTATCTGTGTCCAGGCACTATGCTAAATGCTATATTTAAATTTTTTTTTGAGGTAGGCATTCTCAAACCCATTTTCCAGAAATAGAAATTGAGATTTTGGAGACATTAAGTATTTTGCCTGAGGTAAGTAGCAGAATTAGGATTGAGTCCAGGTGTCATGAGCCCAGCTTATACCTAAGAAAGCATAGATCAGACCATGTGACTTCTCTATTCTTAACCTTCCATTGGCTTCCCATCACATATAGGGAGGAAACACCTTAAGTTCTTTTCTCAGTTTGCAAAGCACTTGCATGGCTTGGTCCTCCTTGCCCTGCTCTCTGACCTTGTTCCTGTCGCTGTCCCCTCCCTCACTGTGCTCTAGGCTCAGTGTCCTCCTTGCTTTGCCTTGAGCACCCTAGGCATGTCTGCCCCAAAGCCTTTGCACACAATTTCCTGTATCTCCGACACTCTTAACCTCAGGTCTTCGTGTGATTTACGGTCTTGCTCCTTTCAGGTCTTTGCCCAAATGCCCTCTCTTCAAAGAATCTTACCCTGACAACTTTATCTAAACCAGTAGCTACCGTGTCTGTATCTTTGCCTTAGCTTTGTTTTTCTTGCTGGCACTTACTTTCTGACACTGTACCTTGCCTTTATTTGTTTATTGCTTGGCGCTAATGAATAATGTAAGTTCTGTGAGGCCTGTATCCCCACAGCGCAGAACAGTGCCTCACATATAGTAGACTCAAGTATTTCTGTGTCTGTGAATGAATATAACCTAAGAATCCTATTACATTTGAAAGGTAACTTTTGGCCTGATTAAGTAAAATTACCCTTAGTTAAATAAGGCTTTTGAGATACCATTGAAGACTGATTGAAACTTCTTTGGAATCAAATCTTAGATACTTTAAAACTAGATGAGGATCTTGGTGATGCACACAAAGCAAGTTACAGTGTTCTCAAAATCATTTGCTCTCACTGCTGCCAAGTGGATGGGACATTCATGGGTCAGTAAGAGAAAAGCTATCTGATTTTTCAGATGTGTTTTATAGGCCTATTATATACAGACAACAAACAAAATTTCACTGCCTCTTAGTTTGAGTTTGCAGTACACATTGTCACAGGGTGAAGTGTTTTCAGTCTTGATGAAATAATTTGAAAAGAGTTCTGTCCTCTCCACAACAGACATGCTCTGTGTTCCAGTGTATATGGTAAACTTTTCTCCAAACTTTCCTGGGAAAAAGTTTAAACCTCAAAAATTGAAAAGAAGGTACAGTTAACAGCCATATTCCCTTTTTACCACTTGTTAACTTTTTGCTAAATTTGTGATCTGTTTCTCTCTTTCCCTGCTCCCTTCCCTCTCCATCTCTTTCTATCTTTGTCTCTCTCTCCTCTTGACACACACTGTTGTTTTACTTAGCCATTTGATAGTAAGTTGCAGATATCGTAATTTACCCCTAAATATCTCAGTATGTATTTCCCAAGAACAAGGGTGTTTTCCTATATATAGCCACAGCACTGTTAGTGAAATTAACATTGATAAAGTAATATTAATTGACCTGCAGTCCATACTCAGATTTCCCCAATGTCAAAAAGTGTTCTTATAGATATTTTTTCCAATCAAGAATCATGTACCATATTTGGTTGTAATGACTTGTTAGTCTCCTTTAATCTAACATAGGTCCTTTACCCTTGTTTTACCTTTTTCTTAATGTCTTTCATGACACCGACGTATTTGAGGAATCGAGGCTGACAGTTTGAGTTTTTCTTGTGGTTCAATTCAGGTTAAACATTTTTTGGTGAGAAAAATGCATAGGTGCGCAGTAAGGTCTCAGTAGTCAAGAAACTGAGAATGAAAAGTAAAAAGTACTTGTTTTCTGCTTTGTTTCTGCAGGATTCTGAACACAAGCAGCTTACTCTGTGACTGTCATTTGAAGTGGTTGCTTCAGTGGCTGGTTGATAATAATTTCCAACATTCTGTGAATGTAAGCTGTGCACACCCTGAATGGCTAGCAGGGCAGAGCATCCTGAATGTGGATCTGAAAGATTTTGTCTGCGGTTTGTATTTTTGTTTTAAAATTTTGTATACTATACATCTACTGTCTTTTTTATTATTTTATTTTATTATTGTTATATTTTCATCATGATAGGTATACTTTTTAATCTCCATCCGCTATTTCCCCTCTCTCCCCTACCTCTCGAGCCCCACCTCTGGTAACCATCAGTTTGTTCTCTATAGCTAAGAATCTGTTTCTTGGTTTCTCTCTCTCTCTCTCTCTCTCTCTCTCTCTCTCTCTCTCTCTTATTCTTTAAACTTTGCTCGCTTGTTGTGTTTCTTAAATTCCACATATGAGTGAAATCATATGGTAATCGTCTTTCTCTGACTGACTTATTTCACTTAGCATTATACTCTCTAGCTCCATCCATGTCATTGCAGATGGCAAGAGTTCATTGTTTTGCATGGTTGAATAATATCCCATTGTGTATATGTATCACATCTTCTTTATTCATTCATTCTAAATGGACACTTGTGCTACTTCCATAATTTGGCTGTGGTAAATAATGCTGCAGTAAACATAGGGGTGCATGTATCCCTTTCAGTTCGTGTTTTTGTATTCTTTGGGTAGATACCTAGTAGTGTGGTTTCTGGATTGTAGAGTAGTTCTGTTTTTAATATTTTGAGGAACCTCCATACTGTCTTCTTCCACAATGGCTGCACCAGTTTGCACTTCCTCAACAGTGTAACAGTGCAATTCCCACATCCTCGCCAACATTTGTTATGTCTTGTGTTTTTGATTTTGGCCATTCTGACATGTGTAGGGGTGATATCTCATTGTGGTTTTGGTTTGCATTTACCTGATGATGACTGCTGTTGAGCATCTTTTCATGTGTCTGTTGGCCATCTGTGTGTCTTTGGAGAAATGTCTTTTCATGTCTTCTGCCCATTTTTTAATTGGATTATTTGTTTTGGGAGTATGCCCTTGTATCAATTCTTCATATATTTTGGATATTAACCCTTTGTCAGATATGTCATTTGCAAATATCTTCTCCCATTCAGTAGGTTGCCTTTTAGTTTTGTTGATGGTTTCCTTTGCTCTGCAAAAATTTTTTATTTTGATGTAGTTCCAATAGTTTATTTTTGCTTTTGTTTCCCTTGCCTCAGGAGACATATCTAGAAAAAATGTTGCTGTGGCCAATGTCAAAGAGGTTACTCCCTGTGCTCTATTCAAGGATTTTTATGGTTTCAGGTCTCACGTTTTAGGTCTTTAATCCATTTTGAGTTTATGTTTGTGTATGGTATCAGAAGTGATTCGATTTTCAATTTCATTCTTTTGTATGTAGCTGTCCAGTTTTTCCAACACCATTGGTTGAAGAGACTGTTTCCCATGGTGTATTCATTCCTCCTTTGTCAAAGATTAATTGACCATATAGTTGTGGGGTTGTTTCTAGGTTTTCTGTTCTATTCCATTGATTTATAGGTCTGTTTTTATGTCAGTACCATATTAATTACTACCACTTTGTAATATAACTTGAAATCTGCAGTGTGATACTCCAGTTTTGTTTCTCTTTGTTAAGATTGCTTTGGCTACTTGAGGTCTTTTGCAGTCCCATTCAAACTTCAGGATTGTTTGTTCTAGTTCTGTGAAAAGTGCTCTTGGTATTTTCATAGGGATTGCATTAAGTGTGTAGATTGCTTTGGGTAGTATAGATATTTTAACAATATTTTTCTAACACATGAGCATGGAATGTCTTTCCATTTCTTTGAATATCTTTCACCAGTGTTTTACACTTTTCAAAGTACGGGTCTTTCACCTCTTTGGTTAAGTTTATTCCTAGATGTTTTATTATTTTTGGTACTATAGTAAATGAGATTGTTTTCTTAATTTCACTTTCTGCTGCTTCATTATTAGCGTATAGGAATGGAACAGATATCTGTACATTGGTTTTGTATCCTGCAAACTTACTGTATTCATTTATCAGTTCTAGTAGTTTTTTGGTTGAGTCCTTAGGGTTTTCTATATGTAGTATCATGTCATCCACAAATAGTGAAAGTTTTACTTCTTCCTTACCAATTTGGATGCCTTTTACTTCTCTATATTGTCTGGTTACTGTGGCTAGGACTTCCAGTAGTCTGTTGAATAAAAGTGGTGAGAGTGGACGTCCGTGTCTTGTTCCTGACCTTGGGGGAAAAGCTTCCAGTTTTTCACCATTGAGTATGATGCTGAGTGGGGTTTTTCATATAAGGTTTTTATTATGTTGAGATATATTCCCTCTAAACCTACTTTACAGAGGGTTTTTGTCATGAATGGATGTTGTACTTTGTCAAATGGTTTTTCTGCATCTATTGAAATGATCATATGATTGCTTTCCTTTCTCTTATTGATGTGATGCATCACATTGATTGTTTTGTGAATATTAAACCATGCTTGCATCCCAGGAATAAATCCCTCTTGGTTGTGGTATATGATTTTTTTAAATATATTTTTGGATTTGGTTTGCTAATATTTTGTTGAGGATTTCTACGTCTATATTCATGAGAGATAGTGGTCTGTAGTTCTCTTTTTTTATAGTGTCTTTACTTGGTATCAGGGTGATACTGGCCTTGTAGAATGAATTTGGAAGTTTTCCTTCCTCTTGTATTTTTTGGAATAGTTTGAGAAAGATAGGTATTAACCCCTCTTTAAATGTTTGCTGCAATTCATCTGTGAGGCTGTCTAGTCTTGCACTTTTGTTTTTGGGGAGGTTTTTGATTATTGATTCAATTTCATTGCTGATAATTAGTCTGTACAAATTTTGTATTTCTTCCTGCTTTGGTTTTGGTAGATTATATATTTCTGGAAATTTATCTATTTCTTCTAAGTTGTCTAATTTGTTGGCATACGGATTTTCATAATATTCTTTTATAGTTATTTGTATTTCTGTGGTGTTGTTATTTCTATTTAATTAGTAATTTTGTTTATTTGGGTCTTCTTTTTTTTAATGAGTCTTGCCTAGAGGTTTATCAATTTATTGGTTTTCAAAGAACCAGCTCCTGGTTTCATTGATCTGTTCTATTGTTTTTTTAGTTTGTATGTCATTTATTTCTGCTCTAATTGGCACTATTTCCTTCCTTCCTTTTGCTAGGTTTTGGTTTTCTTCTTTTTCTAGTTCCTTTAGATGTAAGGTTAGGTTGTTTATTTGAAATTTTTCTTGCTTCTTGAGGTAGGCTTGTATTGCTATAAACTTCCCTCTTAGAACCACTTTTGCTGCATCCCAAAGATTTTGGACGCTTATGTTTTCATTTTAATTTGTTTTTATGTAATTTTTTATTTCTTCGTTAACTCATTCATTCATTCATTCATTCATTTGCATAAAGATTTTATTTTTAAGTAATCTCTACACCCAGGGTGGGGCTAAAACTTAACGACCCTGAGGACAAGAGTTGCATGCTCTACAACTGAGCCAGCCATGTGGCCTGACACATTCATTGTTTTTGTTTTGTTTTGTCTTTGTTTCTTTTAATTTTAGAGAGAGAAAGCACAAGTAGGGGACAGGGGGAGAGGGACAGAGAGAAGGTGGGGAGACAGAGAGAGATTGAGAGAGAGAGAGAGAGAGAGAGAGAGAGAGAGAGATTGATTCCTAAGCAGGCTCCATGCTCAGCATGGAGCCTGACACGGGGCTCAATCCCATGACCCTGGGATCATGACCTGAGCTGAAATCTGGAGTTGGATGCTCAACCGACTGAGCCACCCAGGTGCCCCCCATTCGTTGTTTTAATGGCATGTTATTTAACCCCCATGTATTGTGCTCTTTCCAGATTTTTTCTTGTGGTTGATTTCTAATTTCATAGCGTTGTGGTCAGAAAAGATGCATAGTACACACTGTCTTAATAACAAGTAAAAAAAAAGAAATTAAACCAGAATGCTTTCTCACTAGCATATCTATTTCCATTTCTCTGTGTTCTTCTCTGAAATTTTTATCTTGTTGTTAATCGTAGGTTAAATTTTGTGTTCTTTGACTTAGTATATCATAAGTAGTTTTTTTCCTCTGTGTGTTCTTCAGTGATCATTTTTAATGTCAGTATAATAGCATCTTTATGAATGTAGGCCTTTCACTTTTAGGGAGTTGTTAACCTTAAAATAAATTTCCAGGGGCGCCTGGGTGGCGCAGTCGGTTAAGCGTCCGACTTCAGCCAGGTCACGATCTCGCAGTCCGTGAGTTCGAGCCCCGCGTCGGGCTCTGGGCTGATGGCTCAGAGCCTGGAGCCTGTTTCCGATTCTGTGTCTCCCTCTCTCTCTGCCCCTCCCCCGTTCATGCTCTGTCTCTCTCTGTCCCAAAAATAAATAAATGTTGAAAAAAAAAATTAATTAAAAAAAAAAAATAAATTTCCAGTAGTAAGATTCCTGAAACAAAAAAGTAATGATTTTTTTTTTAAAGTAGATCTTAAAAAGTGCTACCAGGTATTTTACAGAAAGATAGCACTTGTTTATGTTGTCACCAGCAATGTATGAATATACCAGGTTCATGTTGTTTCTGTTTTTCATGCAGTTTCTTAAGACTAAGGTGTTGGAATTTTTGGGAGGGGAATGGCGGACAGTCATGGAAAAGTTGTCATGATTCTGACACTCATAATTTCAAGTATATATCTATATTGTTCTTTTCTCAAGCTTGGACATTTTTCCTTTACACTTACATTTCGTTTAAAGTGGAATAACTGGTTCTTAGCCTTGGCAGCAGAACTTTTAGATCAATGTGTTTGTGTTGCATGTCTCTAGTATCTGATCATTTAGATACCCATGTATGGCCAGATCTGTTTTTATAATCTCCTTAAAAATACTGAGGACACTTGGAAGTTCAGGCCCACAAAATGCTTATTTTTTTTTTTTACATATTAATGACATATTATTTATGAATCATAGTATATTAGCCAGTCCTAAGACTGTCTTCAGTTGGACATTTAACATGTTTGATATTTCTCACTATTTTAGGTGAGAGTTACCCACATACAAAGTATATTATGTTTGTTACTCCCCATAAAATATAATAGAATCATAATTCCTATTTTCTATATTGGCACGGAAAAGAATGAGTGTTGTTATATACATATTTTCATATGTAAGCTCTGTGTATACACAAGAGCTAATAGGATTAGAACTTGTCTTGAAATTTGAATCTGGGTTTTTCTTTTTTCCCTGTAACTGGTAATACTTAAGGAAGGACATTCTAAGCATACGTGACTGTAAGGGATAGTAAAAAATGATGCTAAGCCCTAAAGTCTGAAAACCTGGGTTCCGGTTCAGCACATGTCTCTGAATAAGTTGTTTGACCCTCTCTGGGCCTCATTTTCCTCATCCTTAAACCAAAGAATTGGATGCTAGTTCTGTAGTCTCTGTCTTAATATGCCATTTTGTAAACAATGCACAATTTTACATTATTTGTTTCAAAAGCTGTGGAAGCAAAAATAAGTAAGTGACTTGGCTCCTGCCCCATTTTTTTTCTCTTAGATGATTTTCTCAAGCCACAGATAAGAATGCATCCTGAAACTACAGTTGCTCTAAGAGGCACGAACGCGACTCTGACATGCACCGCAGTGAGCAACAGCGATTCGCCCACGTCTACTGTGTGGCGCAAAGACAGTGAAATCTTGTATGATGTCGATGTTGAGAATTTTGTTCGTTACCAGCAGCAAGCTGGAGAAGCTCTGGAGTATACGAGTGTCCTACATCTTTTCAACGTGAATTTCACAGATGAAGGAAAATATCAGTGCATTGTTACTAACCACTTTGGTTCTAATTATTCTCTTAAAGCCAAACTGACTGTGAATGGTAAGGAATTCTGCTCCCTGATAGTTTTATAGTTAGAAGTGTTTTTCATGTTCAATTTTTGAACCACCTAACCAAGAAAATGAGGCTAGACCTGACATTTAAGGGGGCATTTTACTGTTTTGTCTTTAGGGTTGTGATAATATATAGACTGGATTACCATTTTGCCTACTTACTGTCCCTAACTGCTCTTTGGTTGAGGATAAGGGGCAATTCCATGGCCCCAGGAAATAGGCTACATTTATTGTTATTTATGCTTTTGAAAAAATTCTTTGGAAATTCTCTATTCTTTCTAGAACCATAATTTGGCTCTGAAAACTATGAAATTTATTCCTGACACTGTTCACAGGGCTTTCTAATAATTGGGAGTATTTAGGGCATTTCTAGGTACAGTATCATTATCATTGTCTGAGTGTAGTCACACAGAATCATTTTTTAAATTAATGCTCTTTTTCACTGTGGTTTTAAAAATAAATTAATAAATTAATTAAAGAAAATAAAACTTCTCCAAAATAGTTTAATCTGTCCCCTATCAGATTGAATAATTAAAATATTTTGGGTTTTGTACAACCAAAAGATGTATTTGTGTCTTTCTCTTTTTTTTTTTTCTAAAGATTTAAAAAAAAATTTTTTTTAAAGTTTGTTTTTGAGAGAAAGAGACAGAATGCGAGCCGGGGAGGTGCAGAGAGAGAGGGAGACACAGAATCCATCTGAAGCAGTTTCCAGGCTCTGAGCTGTTAGCACAGAGCTTGACGTGAGGCTCGAACTCACAAACTGTGAGATCATGACCTGAGCCAAAGTTGAACACTTAACCACCTGAGGTGCCCCAGGATGTATTTGTGTGTTACTTCTGTGTTGTTTTATGAGATTTTTGAAAGCATAAATTTTTTCTTATCATGCATTTGCCATGCCAGCTGTGTAGATGTTAGTTTGGAAAGCACCATTTAGTATCTTAAGTAAACATAGCAAATAGTGAGTTCTAAAATAATGGAGCCCAGAAAGGTTTGTGGCCTTCTGCCTTCCTTGTCCCCATCAGAGACATCAGGTGGATGTGGCATGCATTCTGGAAGAATTTAGTCATCACTGTACTCCAAGTATTCTGAGGTTTTGGGAGAAGAGATGCCCTCTGAACTTGTATTTACTGTTCATCCAGAGAACATGTCTTCTCAAAGAAATAGAGTATTTACAACAGTTGGTATTGTGCCTAACAGATTGTCTCATTTATGTGTGTATGTAAACATGTGTATGTGTATTTCCCCACCCACCCACTTTTTTCGGTAATCTTTTCTTGGAACAGAGATGCCATCTTTCCTGAAAACTCCAATGGATCTAACCATTCGCACTGGTGCCATGGCCAGATTAGAGTGTGCTGCAGAGGGGCACCCTGCACCTCAGATTTCCTGGCAGAAAGATGGTGGTACTGACTTTCCTGCGGCTCGAGAAAGGCGCATGCATGTCATGCCCGAAGATGACGTCTTCTTCATTGCCAACGTGAAAATAGAAGACATGGGAATCTATAGCTGCATGGCACAAAACAGAGCAGGAGGCCTCTCAGCAAATGCCTCACTCACAGTATTGGGTATGTGTGCTGCCCTGTGGGTCCCTGCTTTGCTTGGAACCTTTTTATAGGGGGCCTGCTCTGATCTTCATGGTGAAAAAAAAGTCTAAGTTTCAGATTTTAATTGTGATCCTTGTATCTCTGTCACTGTATTTTGCCAATACACATGGGGTTATGTCAGCCTAGGATATCTGTGGATCAGATAACTGAAATCTGCGAAAGTAATGAAGGCAGAATTAGAGATCTTCATGACATGAATTGAAAATTCGGATCCCTTTATCCTGTCCCTCTGGAAGGTTTCTACTTCATATATATGTTTTTTCACCTGTTCAGCAGTGAGTTGGCAGTTGTTTTATACTGCTTCATAGTGAACTCAGGGCAATGTAATTGTTTTTCCCATATTTTATTATTTTTTAATATAATGTCAAGTTAGCTAACATACAGTGCATCCCTTAGTTCATTTTTTTTTTTTAATTAAATGCACCAAAAATGACCTGTCTTTTGGTTAGATGTCCTGTTTTCCTTCCATTGTGTCCCTCTTCTTCCTGTGTTCTGGTAAATTGTCTTTTCCCTAAAGAGTTCCCTTGACAAGCCTGTTTTTTTTTTTTT